ATTGTTTTATAAATCATAGAAATACATAAATAGAGAATAATGGCTTTTAGCAATACAATGAGTCTACATATCACAGAATAGTTTCCAAATGAACCCACTGACCCTCAATCTCTAGTCACCTTAATCATCAAATAATGTTAAAGCTCCTCATTACTCTACATGATATATTCAAAATATATTCACTATCTAATATGGTGACTTCAGCTACATTATTTTTGATCAAGTGCTAAATATACTATCTACAAATAATGTAAGATTTTCTTGACAAGGGCTGGCAGGATAGCTCAGTGGACTAAGCATCTGCTTAGGCAAGCACAGGGACTGGGGTTCAATCCGTGGCACTACAGACCCCACCGGCCCCATCCCCGAGCACACGGAACTGCTTAGGTGTGGTGGTGCCCACTGTAATCCCAGCACTGGGGAGGCTAAAAGCAGGAGGGTCATGAGTCCCAGCTGCATAGTGAGAACCTGTGCCAAATACATAAAAAAAAAAAAAAAAGATTTTCTTGACAGTCTTAAAGTTGAAATTGTACAAGGAAATCATCACATCATATAGAACACTGCCAATATTCTACAAAAAACTCACTTCTAATTATATCAATGAGTACTTCAATTATGATTTTTAAGAAGCCTTATTTCATATATCTTTTTATATTTTTTTCAAAACCTTAGTTAATGAGAAGTAGCAAGTATTCAAAGAGTAGTTGAGTGGATAAACAGCCATTAAAGAAATTTATACAAGTTAGTTGAAATAGTTGTTTTATATTCAGGATGCCAAATAAATAAATATGCATCCCATGTAACACAGACATCCCCAAGGTATAAGTTGTGTTTTTCTCAAACTCACTTCATAACAACTAATACTATCAAAATGCTAAATTCTCTGAACTGTTATGTCTAACTGTGATCCATTATGTTCAACAAGAAAAGGATATCAGAATGAAAATGAGGGAGAGATTAAATAAAGATAGAATTAAGATAATGCATGCACACACATATAATATACACAATATAAATCATTATATGCCTATTATATATGTTACACGTGCATTATATATGTGTATTGGGCAGGGGGTTACCTGCTAAAATGTAGCTTAATACAAATTTAGTTACCTATCTATCCAGCGTATTTCACAAAATATATGGGGTAGAAAACATACTTTCTATGCCCAATAGTGTTATTGATATATTTTTCTTTTTTTTTTTAACATTTATTTATTGTGTGTGGGGTGGGTGGGTGTGTGTGTGGCCAGCTCAGCCCACCAGGGTGCGCGGCTGGCTGGCATGTGGTGCTGGGGGATTGAACTGCGGTCCCTGTGCTTTGCCAAGCTTGTTCCAAGTAGGTGCTTTAGACCACTGAGCCATCTCACCAGCCCCGATATATTTTTCTTAATAATGCGATTTTCTCCATCTAACATATGCTACATTTATTTTCACATGCCAGACAATTATGTTCCACTAAGATGCCAAAGGGAAGCAGGTAGAAAGTGTCTACCTTCAACAGTTAGAATGCAATAGCTCCATCTTTTCTAAAATGTGACTCAATCCAGAAGACAGCCCACCATGATTCAAATTCATCTCCCCACCCCTAGAAACCACCCTTGAGAAAGGATTGTAATGCAGTTTGTTTAAGACTTGATTTCAGAAACTAGAAGTTGAGCAGAGAGGTACTGCAAGCCAGTAAAGCGTTGAGTATTCAACCAGATGCCACCGTGGATATCCGCAATGCAGTCCCCTTGGAGAAGGCCTTTTAGGATGATCCCAACAAAGGATCAAGACAGCTAAAGTATTTATTAAACAACTCTTATTTACTCAGTGGCACTTTGGCTTTTCTTGGCCTCTCAGGCCTCATTAACTCAGTGATGGGGAACCTTTTAGAGAATGAAGAGCTGGGGAGATAGCTCAATGGATAAATGCTTGCCTGGCAACGGCAAGGTCCTGAGTTTGATCCCTGGTACTACCAAAAAAAAAAAAAAAAAAGCTTTTAGAAACTGAATTTCCCAACTGAAGCCCAAAACCAATTATTCATTGCAAAGTGACAACACTGCAATTAAACTTATATGGTTAGCTGCTGGGCTAATACTGGGGCGACTTGGCTCAAGGATCACTTTGCATGCCTGCTGCAGCATGGGTGCCACAGGTGCACCACCATTGGAGTGTGTTTGTGGGTTGGTGCTCAGGGAAGGACGATCAAGCAGAAGATAGTCATAGAAAGAAGTCCAAAGGTCATGAGCTGAGAACTTAATGACTTTGTTGAAGGAAATGATCTATTCACTCCTAGATGAAAAAAGCTTCTCTCCTCAATCCTGTGGGAACTGAGTCTAGAAGACAAATCAGATGGCTAGGATTGCTATTCAGACATAATTTCTAATAGAAATTTGTGACCATACCTATTACAAAAGAAATTATTTTATTGCATGCTACTTTAGGATCTTAAAAACAAAACAAAGAAAATAAAGCACAAATTACAAATCAAAAGTGAAATACAACACTGAATGAGAATGTGAACTACACCAGGTGCTATAAATTTTTTTCTTCTAAAGTCAGATACATTAAGTGGAAAAAAAGTTGCTCTCCTTGTTTTCCTTAAGTCTTTCCTGAGAAGTATGAGTCACAAAGAATTGAGCTGGAATCCTATTTACCCTAAGGTGTAGTACCCAACACAAATACAGGGGTGCTTAGCTTCATGATCTTAATTGGTTCCAGGATTCTGGGGAAGGAGGCCCATTCATGCTCATCACCTGAAGTGGAGTTTCCAAATGGAAGCACAATTTTGCCCAACACTTCTATTTGCAACACAAATTGTTGGTGAGGCAAAGCATTCGGAAACCAAGGTATTACTTAGATTTAATTTCCCAGAACCTTGGTTTCTCTGTTCCTAATACAATTATCTCATATTAAGAGATTATATGAGGATTGAATGAAATAAAAAAAACAGCACAGGTATCAAAGCACGTGGCCGTTTTAGTACCAACTAAGCATTAGTCCTTCCTTCTTGTCATCATTTTATGAAGTTATTTATAAGTCAGATATTCCCTCTATAACAATAAAAACCTTAACTCTCTTAATAGCTGACTGTCTTGTCTATGTCCACCTGGTTCCTCAAAGAATAAAGAAAACACTGAAATTTAAGTCTCTCTCATTTTGAGTATCTGGTCTTTAAAGCTTTAACAACAAATAGAACTAAAACGAAACATTAATTTTTACTGAAACCATACAAAACTTTTTAATGAAGCAATGACTCAGTATTCAACTAACCCAAATCCTTAATTGCTGAAATATCTCTGCAGCATTCTTGGAAAGATGAGAAAAACCACAAGAACAATTAGCATGTCTGATATGATATTTAAATACAAACAACACTGCCATCACTTTGACCAAATACGTCCTCTACATACCTAATATATCTTAAACTTTCTACAATGAAGCTTTCTTTTCTATGTTACTATCCTAAAGACATGAAATAAATATAAATTAAATCACCATGAACACTAGGCTGCAGTGGTTCAACCATTTCTGTTGGCTAATAGGGTTTAATCTAATGTCAATTAGCATTGCAAATCTAGTTCAACATTCTTTATTTTCCTTCAATTAATCAGAGCATCAGAGGTTACAAGCAAAACCTGGCTAATGTGTCAGGTATTTCCTCTTTAAATTATTTG